TTCTCCATAAACTTTGTGACCGAAAATAGGTCTTCATTTTGATAGACCAGAAGTCATAGTTTTCTCCATTGAAGATTGGAAGAGAAAGGGTGGAACGATTGGCTTCTGCACACATTGTTTAGAAGAACTCACGCCCAAGAGATTTGATCGAACGGGCTTTGATACCACTGATGTTTGCTAATGATAGTAACAACAAATACTATAAAAAAATAAGATAGAAAAACAAAATAGAACTTGGTTGAACGAGAGAAAGGTTTTGTAGTATTCTGGTATTTCTCTCTGATACGTCAAATCAGTACAGAAGAGGGGATTTTATAGTAGATGGAGTCGATTGAAACTGAACCGATGTACATGAACGAAGACTCATTAACTCACCTAGGGAGAGGTATTGGCAGACTTTGGAACTGAATTACTTTGGAAGATACAACGACTTGTATCGAAATGGAACAAACATTGAAAAGAGACTTTAACTTTACTGTTATTCGAGGTGACTGAATAACCGACTTCTAGAAATGTGAAACAACATTTAATACTTCTTCTCCTTTCGATTAATCTCACACAAGTGTGAGAAATGTGAGATTAATCAACAAGTAATCTAGGTTGAGATCTGATGGAGAAGCTGGCTTTCACTACTGAAAGATTTGTTGTACCTCCCTCAATCAAGTCGAGTTGGAATTCAGACGAATTGATGAAGAAGCTCGTTTTCATTACCAAAAGATTCTAGTCCTTTTGTAACTATCATGGAATACAATTCAATGTCATGGCCTCAAAGACGCACACTAGCTTCCTCCATCCCTGTTTCACTTGTACACCCCCATTAAATCACAAAATAAAGAACAAAGAAATAAGTAAAGGGAAACAAAAAATACAGAATTAACTCTGGTATCGAGTGATGGCTACATTGTTTCAGAATTGACTAAGAGGGATTTGACTAAGCTCACCCAAGATTCAACCGAGTTGGTCTCAATCATTGTTTCAGAAAATTGAATCATTTTAAGATGAACTTCACCTTTTTTTATAAAGCTAGGATCAAATTGCTAATTTGACAAAGTTTGTTTATAAAAGTCAATTGATTAAAATTAAAAAAAAATCATAATGCAAGGTGAAGTTCCTGAATAGGTTTTTATTCTCTATTGTGTCCTTCCATGCAAAAGCCTATTAGGCTTGAAATATGGTTAAGCACAGGCCCATTCATGATTCATACCTTGTGTTGAAATTTAATTAATTATAAGCGATGAATAAGAATCAAGCACCAAACTATTTGGTCAAATAGTCTTTGATACCATGTCAAGTAACAATTCAACCTAAAAGTTTAAGCTCTTAAGTGAGATCCTTAAATAGGTTTTCATTTTCCAAAACCCATTACCCCTCAACCCTGGTGAGGGGAGGTTTGTGCATTTGACTCAAAACCTATGGGTGGTATAAGTATTTTACCTTTTATTAATTTGTGTAGCACTGGAATATGCACAAGGATCAAGGATAAGAGAGAACCCATCTCTAGCTTAAGGCTTAAGAAGCCCTCTCTTCCTTGGAAACCATGGACAAGTTACAAAGAGAAATAGAGAATCTTCAAATTAAAAGAATAGAAATGTTTTCTTCTTTACTTCTTTTCTTTTTTCTTTGAGAAGAATATAGAAATGTTTTCAAACAAGAGGTCTTGTTTCAAGTCACTATACGATCAACATGAAAATATTGTTTTGAGAAGAGCAAAATAAGGTAACAAATTTGGATAAAAAGCAATTAAAGAATTATAAAACTTCTTTCAAAAATTAAAACAACCCAAACTCAAGATTCTTATGACTGCCAAAGGCAATCATATCTCACGCATGTCTGTCCATGGAGATGAAAATCCTCCACCATTTAGTGGATCCTAGTTTAACACGTTCAAATGGTGAAGTAGCTATTAAGAATCCATTAAAACTTTGATGATTCTAAAGTTGGCTTTTCAATATCCTTTTAGGTTTTTGTTCAATCTGAGTACCAGTAGGCTCTATTTGGATAAACCTTTGATTTTCAACTTTAGACTATGGAAAACAAAGTTGAGTCAAAAAGTGTTTTGAGAGTTTGGTAAAAACTGCTTTTAAAAACATTATAATCTAAAGTCAAAATACTTTTAAACCCCAAAGAACAAAGTCTAAAATCCTGAAGCTTATCCAAATGATTTTTTTGTGAGGATTGCAATAGGCCAGCTTAGCATATGCTGCATATCTTAAAGTACACTCAAATCCAGTTTAATTAAATTTACTTTTGAAACCAAACTGTGGATTTGGATCCGAGGAAGTGGAATTTCAACATTGGGAATTTGGATACATCCAATTCATATGAATTAGAATACCTATGGAATTCTAGTTGACACATTTTATAGGAATTTGATTTTTTTAATCTCGTGGTGTTGTTCACAATTCCCGCATCCATGTGAACCATGAGTAAGCGTAATAAGAAACAACAAATCAACAAAGTACAAAACATAGCAACATTATTAATTATAGCCAGAAGGAAAATACATTTAATGTATATTCCAACTGTTCTTCCCAAGTAACCCGATTCCACATCATCCCAATCTATAGATATTTTAAATTCCCACATGGATTTCAATTCACACAATTCAAGAATAAAGAGAATAGAAGGAAAATATATACTAAAGAATTAAAAATTACGAGGATTAAAATATAATAAAACGAGATAATGAACTATTTAAAAATTTTACAAGCATCAAATCTGAAACCATCTACAACTTGGATAGGCCTAGATTTGCACCAAACCTATCCGATTAAAGACAAGTTACATGAGAGTGTTTAACTGTCAATGAATAGGCTCTGGTTTGGGACAGGGGTGGAGCAGTCCTGAACTGATTTGATTATTAAATGATTCTATAAAACAGACCCAGAACCAAATCAATTATTAATCTGGATAATTGAGTCTAACCTGATTATACCTTACATTTATAAATTACCTACTTGAAACTTTACTAATGATAATATAACCTCCATAAAAAAAATATCTTATATATGAAATCAACTTTAGTGCTCACAAGATGATGCTCACACCGTTTGCATGGGGAAATATTTTCATACTTGTACGTACTTTTCATGGGAAGATATTTCCAATGCAGATGTAAACACAGTCTTGTCTTGTGAGAATTAAAGCCCATTTCCTTATATACTGCCTATGAAATTATTAACTATATAAAAATCATCCATCTTGAGTCAAAACCAATTTGAAACAATAAAAAAAAAAACTAATCCCAATCCAATTATTAAACCATAAAACTAGAACCAACATAAATGATTTGATTGGTTTGGTTGCATCAGATGGACCTGACCTATTGACAGCTCTGGAGGAGTTGAATTATATATCAAAATAGCCGGACCGGGCCCATTTTCATCCTTAATCTTAAGGTTACTTGTAGAATCATACCCGACCCGAGCATAAACCATACCCGTATATACTTAATCAGATACCCAAATGGGCAAATGATATGCTTTGGTATAATTCCATTTTTACTCCCTCTAAACCCGAAAGTCATCCCCTCTTTTGGCATTTTCTGAGCCTTACAATACGGTTCATTCATACTTCCTAAAGAAAACGTACAAACCAACGCCATTCCATCTCATCTTCTAGGGGTGGAAAAAGTTTATTCCCTTGTGAAGTGTAATAAATGCATGACCAGAGTCCAGAGAATCAACTGAAAGCCTCACTTTGGTTGTTCCAGGGAGAAGATAACCCAAACTCCCATAAAAAACCAAAACAAAGTGAATTAACTTTGTCTTTAACTTTGTAATATGATTCCCTCAACCCCACTCCCATGTCCGATGTCTGTATTTCCAACCACCATATCGCTCTTCCCCTAAAACCCGGAAAAGAAAAAACCAAGAAAAATAATTAAAATCTAATGCAGGGAATCAGCAACAGTACCAATAGTAACTGTTGAAAAGAAAGTAATACAAGATCCACCTCGAACATCTCTCCCTCCCTTCTCATACCTCTCGACCCCCCTCTCCTAGTCTTCTTCCCCATGTTTCTAAACAGAAATTGAACGATACCCAGATAAGAAAAACGCAGAATCAGAGAGACCCAGAAGAGCAATACCCAGAAATTCCAATTTCCAAATTCCAACGGGTTGTGTTGGTTTCCATCTATTTATGTTTAATTTGTAGAGCGTAGGAAATAATGAGGGAGGAGGACTCAAACTGGTTTTCCAGATGGGAGGAAGAGCTTCCATCTCCAGAGGAGTTGATGCCTCTTTCGCAGACCCTTATAACCCCTGATCTTGCCCTGGCTTTCGATATCCGAAACCCTAACCCATCTTCGCAACCTCCCCCGCCACCACCACCTCCTCCTTCTCAACCTCACTCGGCCGAGTTTGACTCGGGCGAGTTGGGTTCCGGTGCCGCCGGCGATGAACCGGCTCGGACCCTCAAACGTCCTCGCCTTGTGTGGACTCCTCAGCTCCATAAGCGATTTGTGGACGCTGTGGCGCATCTCGGGATCAAGAACGCCGTGCCGAAGACGATAATGCAGCTGATGAGTGTTGATGGGTTGACTCGGGAGAACGTCGCCAGTCATCTCCAGAAGTACCGGCTTTACCTGAAAAGGATGCAGGGGCTTTCCGGCGGTGGCGGTGGCGGTGGCGGAGCGGCGGCGTTATCGGCCACTGATCCTGCCACGGATCATTTGTTTGCCAGCGCACCGGTTCCGCCTCACTTCTTGCATCATGGACGGCCGGCGTCTGATCACTTTTTGCCGTTTGTGCCGGTGACTTTACAACATCACCATCATCAACAGATGGCGGCAGCTGCAGTTGCCGCGGCGCATCAACAGCAGCAGCAGCAGCAGTTCCATCATAGGCAAATTGGACATTTTGGGTCGCCACCGGGTGGTCAATTCGAGCATGGGTTTCTGACACGGCAACCGCAGCCGATGCACAGGATGGGGGCACCAGTTCCGGGTCAACCACCGGCTTATGTAGAGGATTTGGAGTCGGCAACCGGAGGAGGAGGAAGAAAGGTTCTAACTTTGTTCCCAACCGGGGATGATTGAGTTTTGGTAATTGTTGCCTCTCTTTACTTTATGTCCTGTTTCCTCTACATTCAGTGTTTAGGTTCATGGAATTTGTATTGGGAGGGATTTAGAGGTTGGAGCCGAATTGGGTTCAGCTGGATTCAGGGCCTTTGTTATTGTTGTTGTTGTTGTTGGTACTGTTGGTGATAGTGTTAGGTGTCAGGTGCCATGGAAGTCAAATTTCCCTCTCCAGATCCTAGAATTGATTGTATTTTCTTTTGTTGGTTTCCAACTAGATCCAATTCTGGATGCTCTCGAGTGATCACTGTTGGTGACTAGTGCGAACCCAGCTGTTGTTTGTAGTTTTAGAATTTCATACAATGTAATTAAATTGTTGGTACTGGTCCTGCTTCTACTCATCTCTACGGTCACTGATATTAGCCATGATGTTGCACTGGCCATGGGCGGTGGTTGACATTAATAATGGTGCTATTTTCAGGTTGGTGGGTTCCTTAAGGATTGGTTGATTTGGTAATTGAGCTGACTCTTAGGTGTCTCTACTGTTGCATGGTATTGGTACTTGTAGTGGTGTCTCTGGTATTGGTCTTTTTTGATGATGGTGCTGGTGCTGGTACTGGTAGTAGTCATGGCGAGGACAATTTTCCAAGTATTTGAGCTTGTTGGTAGGCAGAGATGGTGGACGGTGTACTCTATATCTTATAGAGACATCAAACATCAAAAAGAGGGTGTTATCCCTGTTCAAAACATTTGTTACCTAGCTTATGGGACATTCCCAGGTAGCTTTTCTGTGTGGGTTCATTTTCCATCTTTTTTCTTAATTTGTTATCTGTAGAGGGGAGAGGTTTGAACCATCCAGTTGTGTCTTCATGCTGTAAATTCTGGGGTTTGATGTGAGTTGGAGTTCCCAATATTAAGGGGAGCTTGTCACTTGTCAGAAACTCTGATGTTATTAGAACATTAAATGTATTTCAATGCTCCAAGAATGCCAAAATGTATTGACTTATCTGAACCTGATATTATTCAAAATTCTCTTTGTAGCTCTTGTATAATTGTGCATATCTGAACCTGAAGTACAAATGAGGTCACCACAAATTTCCTTTTCCTTAAAAGATGTGTGACTCTGAAACTCAGACAAATAGTTACTTATTTGGTCCTGGTTGAATCATAATTTTATTGGAATATAATTTTTGAGGTAAGAAAAATGGCTGGATTGCCTGTTGCAAGCTTCCCTTTTTTGCTGCTTTTTTGGATAAGTAGCTGTAATCTGTAATGGCAACAACAATAGCATAAGTGGTAAACTATTTAGAAAAGCTATAGAAAAATCTTTAATTGCCTAAACTCATAACCTTACAGAAAATAAAATAAGGTCTTAGCTAAGAGAGAAACTTTTGCATTGTCATAACAATTAGCAGGTCTTTTATTCAAACTTCATAAATCTAATCATGCATGGATGTAAAATGGCCTTTTACCATATTAATTAACACTTTTAAGGATCTCTTTATACTATCAACACTGTTGGCATTGCATCTCTTCCACAGATCACAATTACAGAGTGAGGTGGTTTTATCTCACACAACCTCATCCTAGAAGAACATTATGATGTTCTTTTGCAATGTTTATTGAACTTCAAAATACTATGACATGACCCAGTACATTTCAATCAACTCTAGTAAGTGCTGCTACTTTTTTTTTTTTTGATAAGTAGAAGTTCTGTGCTACATTTTCCATGTAAATTAGCAATGAATTAGGGCATTGATTTCATCCCCAGTCCCTTTGCAAAGAAGAATCTTTTACTATTGTCATTTTCCCTTTGATCAGTTTATTGGGTGCCAAAATAGCATTCTCATGAGTTCATTCAGCTAGATGTCCACTTTCCCCCATTTTTTTAGATAGTGTCTACTTCCTGGGTCCTGTTTATTGCTTCTCCTTACCTAAAGAAATTTGGCACTGTTTCTTCTATAGCTATGGCTAATGCATACAAAACTTTGAGAAAAGGCATGTAATCTCATCATTTATCCTGAAAAGTTTTTCCCATTGAATTATCCATAGAGAGAATATCTTATGGTCAGTTCCTTTTAGAAAGTCTTTATATGGTTCCATAAGCTGTTTCCACAGCCTTGTTGAAGGTACTAAGATTTGTATCATATTCCTGGTTTGCACCACCTTAAATGGAGGCTGTTATCCTCCTCCAAAGACTCTAATCTCCCTACTAAATCTCCTACAATATTTTCCTAATTACACCTAATTTGGGAGAACTTCCAAGATTTTCTCAATTCCGAGAAATTGAACAATGGCCTAATCCATCTTTTAATTGTTCTTTGTTTCTACTGCAACCACAGTGAAACTGAGGCATGGTCAATAGTGAGAAAGAAAATTTGGGAGTGAGTCTCAGAAGTTGTCTTGGGTAAAAGTAGCTTTACCAGATTTAGGTATATTGTTCTTAAAAAATGCTTCAAGTTTCTTTTATATGATTTTGGGAGTTATTTTAGCCTTTTTCTTTTGGGAAAAAAAAGTAGAATGACAGAACGGAATTCATGTAGCCAACCCAGGATAAGGCTTAGTTAAATTGGGTTTAGTTGGGTATGTTAGCCTTTTTCTGTCCTCCAATGGAAATTTGAAAAACTTAAATAATAAGGAAAGAAGAATGAATTAAATAAAGATCACTTAGATTTCTATGGTTGCCAAGTTGGACATGAATCCTGTGATCATTGCTTGGGGATATGAAAATTGTCTAATTGATTCACATCATGGAACCTTTCTATTCTCATAATTAAAGCAATTAACGGGTCCACATGAGATAATGGAAGGAGAATACCTCCTGGAGTTGTAATTTTGGAGAAACTTCACTTTTGTTACTTCAGGAATCATCATATATTGTCAGGTATCTTGCAAAATCTTTGTCATATTGGCTATGCATTTGCTTTGTTATCCCAAAAGAGCTAGTTAAGAGGCTGCACCTGGCAAGAACATGTGAGATGTATGTCAATAAAAAGTCATATCTGCTTGTACAACCAGACAACACTTTCTGTCTGAAACAATCAACTTTCAACAGAGATTCCAATATGTTGTTATGGCAGTTAATAAGATGGTCGAATGGATCAACTTTATCAAAAGTGAGATTTTTTAGTTCCTGATGGTTAATGGTTAGCCTGATCCAATGTGATTTCTGGTCGACAGAGAAGATATCCAATTGCCTTGCTTGATCAAGTTTTAAAATATATTTTCCACCGTATATTGATCTCATTAGAGTTTAAACCCAAAAACTTTATGAATCTTCCAGAAAGAGCAATTTTATGGGCATTTAGTCTCAAGTTTCTGTAGTCTTGTCTTTAACCTCTGATTCAGTCAGTGTTATATGGACATGGACACAGGAATCAGAATGTAACACATGTTCAAGAGTCTGATTTGGCAAGATGAGAAAACACGGACTTGCAGTCACACCTATAGAACATGATATACAATTGAAATAGTTCTTTTTTTTTATTCTATTTTCTAACATTATATATTTGTGCATTTACCAAAGATTGTGTAGCTTAACTTGGCTAAATTTATTTTTGATGCTCCTAGCATCCTTTAGGTGTGTTTTACAGATTTTTAGGGATTCTCAAAGAGTTTATGATTAAAAAACAAACAAATAAATAAAGGTTCCCTAGTGCTTTACCCCATAGTTGTATTATTATGATGGAGAGGTGGTGTCTTAAATGTCTGAAAATTGAATAAATCCTCCATGATGTATTATCAAGCAGTGGTTGTATTTGCTTGCTTTCTGAGGCAGTAGGGGAAGAGATTCTTAGAGGCATTGTACTTCATTCTCAGGGTGCCGTTCTAGAGTTTGGAGAGCATCAATAAATGACACTGAAAGTGCTCCAAAAAGGTCAAGGAACCAATTAATCTTCATCTTGACCTCCACTCTCCAATGAATAGTTGCCCTCCAGGCACAAAGAAAAAGCCCCTTTTTTGTTGTCCTACCAATATGGAGTTATGGCTGATATGGTAAGAAAAAATAGCCAGTGCATTAAGGAATGAATTATACTACTACAGGGTTGTTGCGGAAAGCTCTATACTGAAAAGATTAAACTGGGAAAATATATAGTGTGCTCGTCATGGAAGTCGTTTCAACATTGTTCTGCAGGAGCTTTCTTATTCAACTGATTTCAAATAGCTAATGGGACTGTGTTTTTTTTCCTAGACAAAAGTTATATATTCAAGACTGTTGTTGCACTCCTCTTCTAATGGGACAGAACTGACCACTATCTGGTTGCTACCTCCTTTAAAGGATTCAATGCTCTGCAAATCAAGCCCATTTGACTGTGACCAATTAGCAGTTATATTTTACAAACCAGAATTTTAACCATCAAAGATTGACTTCTTTGACACCAGATTCTTATAATTAGCCATTAGGTATTCATGCTCCTAATATAAAATTATTTTGTGATGGAGGTAGAATTTAACCAATTCATTCTGTTGTCGATTTGTCATGGTAAATGTGTGATCCTATCCCCAATATCTGTTCAAACTCAAAGGTCTAGCTCCTCATCCCAAGAAGTTCATGTGCCTATCCTGAGGGGTCCAGGCCGCTACTAAACGATTCTCAAACTGGTTTGAGTCTTCTATTACGCATGATTCAGTCACAAGATGGATTTGTATTGTGGATTTGAATGAATAACAGGATATATGGCAGTATAAGACTTACTCATTTAAAGTTTAGCTCAGAAATTTCCAGACCAAGTAATGCCACATATTTTGGAAAACATTGCCAGCTTCCCGCCTTCGCCCCAAGAGAGAGGGATAAAAAGGGTTCTATCGTCTTATTCTAATATGCATGAACTAAACCGGATTATCAGTCGTGGTGTTTCTCATCTAAGGCTTTCAAAAACAAAGCTATCTCCACCATTCATACCTGTCTCAAATAACCCATTTTCCTCATTTCAAAACAACATTCTTCCCTCATCCAGTTGGGTAATAGTTTTTTTTTTTTCTATTATTTAGTTTAGAAGAGAACTTTGTCATGCATGGATTGGTGTCAAAGATGCCACACATATAGGAATATTTATCCTCGAATGAAGGATGCAGGTGTCCTTCCCAGCAGCCTGGTTATGACAGGATCAGCATTGTACAAAGGCTTGATTTTTTTTTTTCAGGCCAATTCTCAACCTTTAATTGACAAGAATCCATTTCATAGTCAACTGATAAGCGGGTGAACATGCACTGATACCAAATATTTGAGGTTCTTTAGGCCCCATTTGTTTTAAGAAAAACAAAGGGAAATGTTTTAGCTATACCTCGGCACACTTGATGATGAAAACTTTGTTTTTCCTCATTTGCATCAAGATAAAAGTATAAAAGCCTTGCCATAACAAGAGGATAGAAATAATAGTTTAAATATTTCAATATCCAAAGGTTTATATCCATTTCTACATTAAAAAAGAAAAGAAAAGAAAAAAAAAATATAGCCTTGAGAATATTTGTTCTTTAATTGCATAATTTTGGCAATTTTTATGATGCCCGAAGAGTATGATACCAAAAGGGCTGTAGCTAATCAGAATACCCCCATGAATTTGATGAATACCAGCTTATTGGTTACTACTTTTATGATACTGGTTGATTGGCTAATAGTATTTTTTTATGTATCATGTTTGGAATCCTCTAGAAAAATTTTGTTCCTTAATGGATTGAAGAGAAGTCTCCTTTCAGTGGTAGATAATAAAGCCATGTTGCCCATGCTTATAATAATCTTAAATTTCACCCAAATGGTTCTTTTGGTTCTGGAATGAACCGAACTCTTGATCCAGCTCTCATTAATCCCAACTTATTACTCCAAAGAACTAATCCTCTTACAACTTACAAGAATTTAATTTCACTCTAGAACCAAAGGATCATTTACCTGAAATTTAACATTCTTTTAAACATGGGCGATGTGGTTTTGTTATCCACCGTCAAAAGGAGGCTATTCCTCCTTCCACGGAGGAACAAAGTTTTTTTTCTACAAACAAGTCCTTTTAACATTTATTTAGTCAAAAAAATGTTAAAAAGAAGG